TTTGTTCAAAACCTAATCCCTCTTCAAACACGTTACCGCTGACGAAGAGAGCAGTTTTGAGGAAACTCAGCAGCAATCAGAGAGCCTGTGTGCTCTGCTCGGAAACGGGAAGTGACTGTGGTGGGCGTTGCGCGAGGGAGGAAAGAACTTGTGTTTATGTGTGTGTGACTGTACTTGAGCTCTGACGGGCAGGACTCTGAATGCTGGACTCGGTTCAGAAACTAACAGGAAATCCTTTATAACCAGAACCAGGAGTCACCTGAACACCTCCCATGTGAGTGAATAAAGCTACGAGACCAAAGGGGAAAAACATTCGCCCACCAAAAGCCGCGTGGGACACGAAGAGCCCATTCCATCACAATGGATGGAAGTTTAAATTGTGTTTTGTTTGCAATAAAGATTTTCCGTTTTCTACATAAACACTTGGATACGTGTGTCTGTACACACACAGAGTAAGAGGAGTGGGGTGGGGTACAAAAATGTACATTTTTATTTTTAAAAAAAGAAGCTTTAAATAAAACAAAATCAAAATGACTATACATTTGGGTTTTAGTCAAGTAAAAAGTTAGGCAAACAAATTTCTGTTTTCAGCTCGTATTCTCCAGAGAAATGGGATGTTATTCTAGCTGAAAACGGCTATTAATCTCACTGGCAGCTTTAATTTCTCAACAGAAATCGGGCACAGTATCAGAGACCTCTGTGTCTTAGAGGTCTGGAGAAAAATCTTAAACTTTAAACTTTTTCTGATTCAAACATGGAAAGGGAAAGAACGATGTTCACCAGCAACAAGCCGGCTATAATCTAAGAGTCACGGTATTTAGACTGGCTGTGTAGCGGTGCAGTTACAGTCACATTACAAAACACAGACTCTGAATGTCCTTCAAAGCTTCACTGTTTTGCTTTAGTGGAGACAGAGAGAAGGAGCTTATAAAGGAAGTGTCTAGAAGCTTTTATGATGGAAGTGAGGACACACATACATTGGGTAAAAAAAAAAGTCTACACACCCCTGTTAAAGTCTAGGTTTTTGTGATTTTTAAAAAAATGAGACCAGCATTAATTCTTTCAGAACTTAATGTGAGCTTTAATCTGTACAACTTAATTAAAAAAATATATATATATTTTTGGAGGGAACTAAAAAGTGGCTGCATAAGTGTGCACACCCTTAAACTAATACTGTGTTGAAGCACATTTAGACTTTACTACAGCACAGTTTTTTTTTTTTTTTTTTT